CTAGAACGATTGACATAAGGTCATCCTGATCGCCATTTTCAAGCTCTATTCGTCTTCTTTTGATCTCATAGCCAATCCTAGAGCTCTTTTATCATCAAATATTCATCGTGAACCTCCCTGTGACCTTCAAAGCTCTCAATTCACTCTCGAATGCTTCTGGAATCATTCCGTTTGCTCCTCAAGCGACGGTGCCGGACTCTAAATTCCTGATTTTGGCTCCAAACAACACAAAACTCGAACCAACGCCTGGTAAACATAACTTGAGCTAAAATTGAGACTTGTAACACCTTAAAGCTAGGAAAACCATCAAAAGTAGATCCCAACACACATCAAATGCGTGTCTAAATACGGACTTATCACATGTCGTATGTTGTAACACCTTCGGTCCACAACGGTTTCATATCATCAATAAACGGTGCAAGGTACACGTCAATATCAATACCCGGTTGTTTGGGTCCCGAGAGAAGAAGAGACAACATGATATATTTGCATTTCATTCATAGCCATGAAGGCAAATTGTAAATAACCAATAGAACGGATCAAGTGTTGTATTGACTACTCAGTGTACCATATGGGTTCATACCATCTGTGCATAGGCCAAGTCTTAAATTTCTGTCCTCTCTGCCGAATTCAGGATATTTCAAGTCGATTTGCCTCCATTGCGGAGAATCAAACACATGACGCAAGTACTCATCTTTTTTTCTACCCTGAGAATTCCAAACTAAATGTTTGGAATCTTTTACATTCATGAATAACCTTTTACATTCAAGTCACTACGAAGATAACATGTCACTTTTAGTGAAGCCTGGGTCACAACCAGGGGAAAATTGGTCACTAGAGCAAAGGCCAACTGTAACATACAAGTAGCAAGTTGTGGTAGAGCCATGATGGGCAAGGCACGACACTGGATTTTGGATAATGTTTTCATGTTTCCATATGTAAATTGTCATTTAAAGTTGTAATGCATAAAATGTATGTCATTTTATTAAGTTTAGTTTGAAGAGCAAATGTATGTACTTAATTTTCTTGCAACTGATTTAATTGCATTTTATTTCATTTCAAAATAATAATAAAACGATCATCATTGTGTCCCTAACGTGTGAAATAGTAGGGGTAGGCATTTCGGTTTTCGGTTCGGTTTTCTTCGGTTTCGGTTCGGTTTCGGTTCGGTTTCGATTTAATCGGTTTGATAGAAAATGTACCAAATACAAATCGATTAAGTTTCGGTTTTGTTTCGGTTTGGTACGGTTCGGTTCGGTTTGGAGTTCGGTTTACCAAAGTATTAAGGTTTGGATAGAAATAAAAAAAAATTAACTCAAAATAATGAACCAAGAAGCGATAGTAATGAACCAAATATAATGTTAGATATAAATTTGCAAACAGTAACAAAACACATATGAACCAAAAATATATAAGCATGACACATTTGTAAGCAACAACACCGAGAATGAATCAAATTATATATAAAGCCAAAACAAAAACAAAACTGGTGCTTGTAAGTAATGAACCAAATATATAGTAGTAGTAGATAATAAATTATAGGAAAAATTGATTGTAATAATCCCAACTATTGGCGGTCCGCTCATAATAATCTCAATTATCGACTATTTCAGAATAATCCCAACTTTAGGGCCCTTCCGCCAATAATGGTCCGAGGTGACCGATTATAAATAAATTCTTATAGTTCCTAAAGAGATATAGTAGGTAATCCCTATACATAATCCTGAATTTCAATTTTTACGCTTAATTTCTATTAAACAATCAGTTGTTAGAGCAGGTAATATGCAGTCATGGACCATTGTTGGCGGACGGTCCATATAGTTGGGATTATACAATAATAATCAATAGTTGCGATTATTGTTAGCGGACCGGCAATAGTTGGGACTATTATTTTCAATTTTTCCTAAATTATAGTTAAATACTATCTACTTAAACCACTATAATTGTTATAGACGTGAATGTAAGTCTTGTACTCCCCCCGTCCCATATTTATCTTCGTAGTTAGGTTTACGATGCTTGACTGACGATAAAGCAATTTCATCCCTGTTCACACTCAGATTATTTTTAGTAAATTAAATTTACATATTCAGAAACTACATTAAATCCGCTACAAAGGCTGATCAAGAAAATTTAATATATAAAGTAAACGTTTAAGAGTAATTTGAGTTGACCGTGTGAATAGTAACTATGAAGATAATTTTGGGACAGAGGGAGTAGTAAACTCTAGTCCTGGACATTAAAATTAAAGAATTAAAGCTTCAAAAAGATTAACATCAATCAAATAAATAAGAGAAATCTTATATTTTGGTTTGGTTTAGTTTGGTGTATGTTGGTTTTGATTTGTTATTTTTTTAAAAAATAAGAAATTATTTCATTTTAAGATTAGTTCGATTTTATTCGGTTTTATGATTTCGGTTCGGTTTGGTTCGATTTAATACGGGTTGGAAGGAATACTACCAAACTCAAACCAAATTATAAATGGTTCGGTTTAGATTTGGTTCAATTCAGTTTGGTACGGTTCGGTTCGGTCAAATCGAACCGTTATGCCCACCCCTATGAAATAGTACCAAATCCCTAACAATAGAAAACACAGTTCTTCTCTTTTTGATTTCTCATTTAAAAACAAAAAGAAAAAAAAATGCCAATAATGCCATAATACAATTAATAATTATACTTGTGATGTTGGCACGAGAACGTCATTTCTTTCGAAAGATCCCAAAATCTCATCTTATTGTGGTAACACATACACTTTTTGACTGATTAACTCATTCACTTTTTCGCAAAATAAGAGGTGTAGGCATCTAGCTATATTATTATTATTATTATTTTGTTTTATTTTATTTAGATTTTTGCTAGACATAAGGTTGTAGTAACTTTTCTAACCGATTGAGTAAAGTTACCGTACATGATCATTTTACATATTTTGCATATAAGTTTTTGTTTATTCTATTAGTATAATATATTTTAGATACAATTTTGTATTTAAAATTATATTTGTATTTGCGATTTGTGTTTCTAGGATAAGTTTAAGTTTCTTGAAACTCTGAAATCACAACGCTTTACATTAACTCTTGAATTGTAATCTAACATGAAGTTCTAATTTTTAGCCATTCTAGTTCTTAGAATACAATTTTTAATTAGAATGAGAATCTAGAATAGTATGAAGGGGTTGCTTAGAGCTTGACACATGACAAAACTTTTCATAATTGTTATCTTTTTTTAACCCGGTAGGTAAATCACCAAAATCGGTGGGATAAATGTTGGGGAATATTTACCAAGTTTTCATAATTGTTATCTCTCGAATGTATTATCTATAGATATCTATACATAAGTTGAACTAGATATTACTCCCTCCGTCCCATTTTACTTAGCCAACTTTCCTTATTTAGCCGTTCCAAAATACTTAGTCACTTTCCATTTTTGATATGAAAAACAAATGCAAAGACTAAATTACCCTTCTGAAAAATCTTGCCCAAGTTAACTGTCTAAGTTCATATCTGAATATTAGTGGGATATTCATCTATGAAATTCAGCCTGTTGTCACAAAGTGGTGTTTGTAAATACGCTACTGATTTTTGAAAAAGAGTAGGGTCAATAGAAACAACTTTAAGGAGAATGCCTAAACTTTCCAATCTTGCTTTTCCCACATGAGGTAGCTTTTCATCACTTCAACCATCACATATTGCAATGTAAGCCACACACGATTTAAACTTTTAGGATCAAGCTCATGAAATGCCTCATGCACATGAGTAACCAACTCATCAATATTTCGTGAACCTTTTTTATGTTTTAACGAATCAATAGCCCTAAACCACCCTAGATCTAAGACATTAAGATCAGAGCTATTAGGTGGCTGACAGTTCAAGTGGAAATCCCAATCTCTCTCTCTTACAGCAGCCACAAATTGACTGTCCTCGCAGTCAATATGTGGTTTGGCATTATCCTGCTGAATTATAATGTGTTTGCTTCTTCTTTCGGACCATTTCTGTTTGATTGCCGGCAGTACCCGTTCAATCATGAATTGTTAAATTACCTCTCTTGTGATACTTGTGATTTGCTTAGTAAGCAATGTCCCCCTTTCTCTATTTTTATTGTTTCTCTTTGCCGTGTCTTGAAAAGTGAAAGGGAAAATCCCAATCTTGCCATCCCATAGAACCTCCCCATTGTCTGCTATTGTAGGTGATGGAGTATATGGCCCAGGAACCCCCGACCCATAGACTCCTGCTATTCTAAATGGAGACCCAATAGGCCAGGAAGCACAACAGGCCCAAATCACAGTGCCCCAAGTACCGAGCAACCCACGTGGTACACTGGGGGTGCCTTCGCCCCCCTGGCCGAAGGCTCCAAATTCTCACAGGATGGCCAACTCAAGCAAATAAAGTTACTGGGAGAAAACGGCGAAAAACAGTAGCCCTCGGCACCTAGAGCGCTCGGCACTAAGGAGGTCCCCGGTACTTAGAGCCCTTGGCTAATCATCTGCAACCGAGGGCACCTTTCTCGACAGAATATCCTCTCCACGTGCGCCTGAATCACCGTACCAAGTACGACGTCACATCCAACAGCCGCATTTAATGCGGCCACATGCGAATGCCAGTGCCACCCCGTTGAGGTGACCCCTCGACCACCATAATGATGACACGTGTCCCTATCTGGCATTTATTACTACTATAAATAGCGCCCCTTTTCCCCATTTGTAATCCAAGCTAAATTCGCTCACTACATTCTCAGCAATATACTCTCTCTCTCTCTCTCTTACTTTTGCTCTGACTTCTCTCTAGTTACTCCCCGCAGTAACACTTCAGATACATACCCCCGGGTAGACTATCCATCAGTAGGCCTTCCAACCACAACTAAAAACATCACTTTAGGAATAAAATGTCTACATTGGACTGCTCTATAGGGGTCGGTTTCATCGGGGGTGCATATAGACATGTTCACTTTCCTTAGTTAAGTTGAACCATTTTTCATCAATATGCACATACTCATAAAAATCATGGAATTTTAGGTTCAATGATAAAAATGAGTTACGAACTAAATGAATTAAATAGAATTGCATTCTTAATCTCTTACATTTGTCTGTCAATAGAGGCTTCACTGCATTTGAGTGTCTTTTTATAGAATTCCTCTTCACACACCTATGGACGGTAGATTTTGATGAATTGACGTCTACTACCAAAGATTTTAGTGTGCTTCTTCTGTAAATAGGAATGTCTTTTTATCTTTTGCAGGTCAAGTTGAATTCTTTTTCTACCAACACTCCCCCTCCTTTTAGGCATGAAGTTTATATCCTACTCAGCTTTCAGCTGTCTCTGCACTTTTTTCCATAGTGTAGCCATTGCACGTCTTGAAACATTGAACTCAGTAGCTACTGCTGCAATTAGTCCACCTTTAAGTGCTCCATTCACTGACTTTGCTAAAAGGATCTCAACTGCCCTATTTCTGTCAATGTCACTTAACTCCACATGTTTTCTTCCTTTCCCTTCCCTTCTTACTACTTGTGTATGTTGTATTGCAGGAGACAAGAAGGTTGAACTTGATTTTGTACCTCCGGTGAATGCAGAAAGTTGCACCTCCATAATTGTAGAGATGGGAAGATTCACATCCTTTAAAGTGAATTTAAGTGGATATGAAGGATTTAGTAATGGTGAAGATGCATTTATAGTGTGAGAGAAGGTTGTATTTATGGTTGCACTTGAGGAGTGAAAAAATAAAAATTTCAGTTCCCTCAAAAAGTCAGTAGCAGTGTAATTTTTGGACAATTTTTATTAACGTGTGGAGTTTTCCCTCCTATAAACTTTGAGTTGGACTTGGGGTACACACTTTTTGGTGTACATACTTTTTACACATGTCTGTGTAAGGTTTTTTTATGTCTGTACAGACATAACGTATTTTTAAAATACGTTATGTCTGTACAGACATAAAAAAACCTTACACAGACATGTGTAAAAAGTGTGTACACCAAAAAGTGTGTACCTTTATAATTTTTCATAAACTTTTGTGTAAAGCTGATGCAAGTGGGTTAACTTTTGCAAGCTGTCCAGTCAATGTCCAGTCAAAGTACTCTTAACTTTTTCTTCCTATCGTCTTTTTAATTTAAAGGTAAATCTGTCTAGTCAACTACACATTATATACTACCTCCGTCCCTCAAAACTTTGTCAAAGTTGACCGGCATGGAGAGTAATAAAGTAAAAACTGTGTTGTTGAGGTTTGTGCAGAGGAGAGAGAAATAACAGAAACCACAAAATAATTGATTAAAAGGGAAGTGACAAAGTTTTTTGGGACTTCCCAAAATGGAAGGATGACAAAGTTTTAAGGGACGGAGGGAGTATTTCCTTATTCTTTGTGTCAGTCAACATTGGCTAAGTAATTTGGGACGGAAGGAGTATTATATTGTCGATTGTAGTAATTTAAGAATGACAGTCGGTCCTTAGGAGACTCTCAGTCACCTCTCACTTCATGCGAGATCTGATTTTCTAGTCTTTTCTTCTTTAAATAGCTAGCAAGAGTTTTGGAAGATGATGATGTTCTATTCTATGCTTCCAGTCTTGTTTATTTTCTACTTTCGAGGGTTTTGATTCGACATCTTCTTTGGCCGTGAGTTTTGTCGGCTTTATGTGAGCGTGTGGTATGTTTTTTCTCTTAGCTTTTGGTGTTCATAGATGGCCATGGATTTTTCTCATTGGAGTAATTGATCTGGTGAGCTTTTGGTACTCATGGTTGGCAAAACTTTTTCAAATTTTCTGAGGCTATAGTTATTCGCCCTCCACCTGAACCACCGCCTCGCTCCGTGAAATTGAAAACGCTCAATTGGACCTTCTTTTTGGTGTCTGGTCAAACCAATGATTCAAACAATTTCGGCTCGATAGAGTTTCCTTTGTTGGTTGCTGGTCAATTCAATTCTCCCTTTCCGGTGGCTAGGGAAGACAGATCTTTTATTTTTAATTGTTTATTTCTTATTCGGAGTAGCAAGTGCAGCAAGACTGTTAGACTAGACTACAATATTACGGGGTTAGCGATCTGGAAGGATTCATGAGATCTTTTCTGTTCAAAGTCTCATCCTATTGTAGCCTTAGGCAATGCATTTACTTGTTTATTTGCTAATATTTGATATGAATAAATTAGTTATTTGATTTTCAAAAAAGAGTAGTTTAGTTACAATAGTTGGTTTTATTTTCTGAGAAATGACATCAAATTTTTTCGATGATCAATTGAGTGAATTAGTGGTAATTTATGTGTCATATACATTGTAGACTTCACGTAAGTAATGCGTGAATTAGACACTATTTTTAAGATTTGAAATATGATCAATACTACAAATCAAATTTTACTCATTTTAAGTTTAAATATTGCTGATTTTACAAGAGTCGTGACGTTTTACTCGTATTGAGTTACGAGAGACATAATTTATTAAATTGAAGGTATCACAATGCTTTATATTGTCTAACTCTCATGGGGGTCGGCTGACCACCATGACCCCTTGGCTCGGCCCTGAGTGTAGTACTTAACACCACAAAAATAATTGAATTTAGACTTCAGCTGAATTTTATAAAGAGACATCTATATATAATACTTTTGTAATATAATTTGTTTTTCACAGAGGGATCAATAGCATAAAAGTAACTAATGAAATACTAGTAGCACATTATATTATACGATGTACTTACTATATAGCAAGGCCAAATCACAAATTACTAACTTCTTGTTTTTTGCCAACAACAAATGCGAATAAAGGCATAGCTATGGGAGGCGGTGTTAGGCCCCGACTTACCCAAATTTCATTTATTTAAAAATTAGTAGGTGTAAAAAGATTCCAAATAATTCTTTGTCTACAAAGATCAAAGAACAAAGTTAGAGGTGGAAATTTCAGACGAACGAAAACAAAAATGTTCAATTATAAAGTTATAGTACTCCACTACTACTCCAGTACTCCCTATTAATATGTGAAATGAACTCTTCAAAGTTCTGGTCCTAAGAAACAGTTACAATTGAGGCCCAATAGTTATTATTTACTACGTAGTATATTTATTTGCCTCCAAATACGCACAGCCTGTCATTGGAATGGGCAGTGGAGGACCTAAGGTGGGCTACGGGGCACGTGCCCCGGCTTCGAGACCGTAAATTCACTAGTAACACTTACGGTAAAAATTAGTACCCCGCTTCGGGCTCGAAGTTTTTCTTATAGATTAAGTTTAGTATCTAGTGTGTTCCCGTTCTCACAAATCTCTGGGTCCGCCACTTGGAATGAGACATCTTAAAGAGATAGCATATGCCAATAATGCCATATCACTTAACAACATAAATTGTTAGAAAAAGCTATTTGTACACGTCCATTTGTAACCTTTGTACACACCATCTGTGATCATAGAACTTTTTTGTCTATGAATTACCTGTTCACAAACAATATATGTTTTGCCCGTGAACATGTTATTCACAAACACACAAATAAGTTGTTCACGAGCACGTGTATGTAGCATGTGCAAATGAGCCTATAAAAGAAGCACTGATGAATTGTTGACCAAATTACATAGTTTCATGACATGCTTTGCATTAACATCAGTATTAATATATTATAGTATATTAGTATGTCTTAGATGACTACTAAGATTGTAGGGTTCAATTTACCCAACCACGCTTGTTATAGTATTATACCTAGTATCTAATTATATAGAGGAGCCACAAGCTTTGAATATACGAGCACATAAAGGCACGCTATAATTATGACTACTCAAATGAAATGAAAATATAAAAATATTTAGAAGTGATCAATAAAGTAATCATCAAATTATTTAATCATCATCACATTCGGTGTTGACAAAATGTAAAACGATCAATAGACATATTTTAATATTTATATCGGTAGTTCCCATCATACATGTTCCAAAACATAAAACCGCCAAGTCATTTCACTTTCTTGAAAAATTAATGCTTCTGAGTAGATTTTCAATGAACATCAATGTTAACCAATTGTTGTCCTTCATATGGCATACATCGTGTCCTTTCTATTTGCTCGTTCTTAAATTTTTTGTCATACGATATACTCCGTATGAGTGAAGAATACAAGTATCTAATACTACGTAATTAATTAATTAAATAGTTTGTTGGATTCGTTAGGCTACACTATCATACTTAGCTGACTTGTATTATTTTTGTCTTTATGTCACCGCAAATTATAACGTACACCTGGCTGTACGGTGCTCACTGAATAAATCAAAAGACAACGAAGGTCAGGTGCAACTCACGAACGCAGAACACCAATAGCCAAGCTTCCAAGTGCCCAAGTCTCCAACACGCAGATACTGATTTAATCGACGCAGAGACGGTTGAGATGTTTGGCCGACGCAGGATGGCTCTACTTCTGCAATTCTGATTCTTCACTGCCTATTTTCCCCCTCTTTGCTAATTTCTGACATGCTATGTGCTGCCACAATTTTTTTATAAAAAATCTATTACGTTCGTCGTAATATTATAAAAATGAGTTTAATTCTAAACTCAAATGAGTATAATGCATAAAAGAAATGGATATACACAAATGAATATTGAACACATTAGAAATCAGTTTTATGTTAAACTCAAATGAGTATAATGCTGAAATGAATGAGCACACACAAATAAGCTTTTGAATTTTTTAATACTCATTTTGTAACTTATGTATGCTCATTTGGTACTATTTTATGCCCATTTTAAAAGGTTGCACATTACAAACATATCATACTACATTAGATTAACATATTGAAATTATTGAAATTGATTATTATAGACATAATTTAAGACTTTTTAATAAACAAAAAAAAGAATAAATAGAAAGAGAATTATAAGGTACGAAGCAGAGATCACTCATGCTCTCCGTTAGGCTACTAATACTCAAAATAACAGGCTCGATGCGCATCAAAATCACATCAATGCTCATTCAAGAGAAGCCGTGATTTTCACCAAATTTACAAAATTGCCACCGGCTGTACGACAGGCACCATACAGCCAGTTGTATTATATACGCTTTCTTATGGCACTTGTATTCCGGAATTAAGCATGACATGGACACCATTCGACACGGATTGGGACCTATTATTCTGCAATATTGCAATAGATCCTAGGGTACACTACATAAATAATCCACAATTTGTTACCCTTCCACACTCTCTCAATCATATGAAGTATCAACCATCCTTTTTTCTCTCCCCCCCCCCCCCCCCCCCCCCCTCTCCTCCTCTCCTCATTCTCCTTCTTCTTTACTTATCTCCTTGTCTTTCTTTTTACCTTCCATTCATACTTCATTTCACCATCATCTCCACCTTTATTTTTCTATGTGCATTGGGGAGAAATAATGTTTGAGAGTCACCGGAAAATCGCCGAAAAATTAGAGTTGCTTTGTGATGATTGATAAATGTTATAACATTAACTGTTACTAGAAATGATCAATGAATCGGTGATTAATCATTTATTGTTTCACAAGTAATTAGTAACTTCGATTTATTAATGCAATATCTCATGGTTAGTAATCTAAACAAGGATTAATTGTATTAGTTATCAATCTCAATTGATTTCATCAAAAAGTTAAATTATTAAATGCTACTATCAAAGTTCTATATGACGATGTTTTATACTTGATTAATAGTAAGAGTTATTAATGAACAGTCTCGTTGTTAATAGCTATCATTGATGAATTGAAGATACTCCACGATTGAGTATTGATCAAGAGGGATAACTAATAAAATAATCGGGGTCAATATATATTTCAATAGCTGAAAAGTAGCAAAACCAAGTCTTTCTTTCATTAATTTATCACTTCAAACTACTTCATCTTAGTGCTTAAAACAATTATTAAATTATAAAACACACCCCCTCCATTTGTTAACTTTTAGTTGTTACAAGTTCACATAAGAATACTATTCATTTTCCTATGGTTACACACTCTACTAAACTATAATATGAGATCAGTGCTATTATTGATTTTTTTAGGCCTAAGTGACTTCAATGACATCAAATTTAGTGCCGTTGCTGAGAAAAGATGACAGCTTTTCTTTGGAAAAAAAAGTAAAAATTCGTACTTTTTCTGAGTTTTGGGAGTGTGTATGGTAAAAACCCGTTCTATTAACGAGATCACATTTCATCCAGAAATAGAACAAACCTTCGAGACGTTGAAAAATATACTTTCAAGTAACGATTCAGAAGCATCATCAAGCTCCGTTGATTCCGAAGAACACATTCATGGAAACCAAAACGTTGAGGGAGCTCATAGCCTTGAATCTAAACCAACAAACACTTATGTAACATATAACCCACCTTAACAAAGGTGTTATACATTTAAGTTGAAATCGGGGTTGGTTCACCTTCTCCCTTCATTTCATCAACTAAGGGGAGAGGATTCAAATAAAAACTACCTTTCGGAATTTCATATAATTTGCACGAGCATGAAATCGAATAGTGTCACTGAAGACCAAATCAAGTTGATGGCCTTTCCATTCTCCCTTAATGGCATGGAAATATATTGAATATTATATTCAATCTTCCCTCGAGAAGCATAGATACATGGACGACCATGTTAAAGTGTTTCCTAGAAATGTACTATCCCACCTCCATAGCCTTAAGTTTAATGAAACAAATAGCAATGTTGAACAAAGAGATGAAGAATTGTTCTACTAATATTGGGAACGATTCAAGAAACTTTGTACAAATTGTCCTTAACATGGATATTCAGAGGAGAACCTCACATCTTATACTTTTATGATGGTCTCCAAAAATTAAATAGAAGGATGGTGAATGCAGAATGTGTGGGGGGGGGGGGGTCGTGAAAAAAACCTTTTCAAGCAAGGAGTTTATCTCGAACTTGGCTAAAGATTCAAGAAAATACATAAATAGAAGGATGGTGAATGCAGAATGTGTGGGGGGGGGTCGTGAAAAAAACCTTTTCAAGCAAGGAGTTTATCTTGAACTTGGCTGAAAATTCAAGAAAATACACACTACAAGAAAATTCCTTATTTGCAACGGACAAATTTTGTTGCAAAGTATTGATTTCCGTTGCAAATCTCGATTTGCAACGAAAAATGCAATAAACACAATCTCATTGTAATAAAGGTCCTTGCAATTTTTTGCAACCATATGTGAATCTGTTGCAATGTTTTGCAATGGCATTTGCAACATATTAGTTTTCATTGCAATATTTGCAACCGAATTAATTTTCTTGTATTTTGCGTAGCAAAAATTGCAATGTAAGTGTTTCAATTGCAACAAATGCAATGGAACATGAGTTGCAAATTTCATTTCATTTTTGCAACAGAGTTAAACATCATTGCGAGTCCCGTTGTAATAATGCAAAAGAATCAACCACGGTTAAGTTTGAATTTTATTGCAATTATCATTGCAATTTACACGACATAAATTGCAACAGAAATTATAAATCATTGCAAATAATGTTGCAATTTTGCAACTAAATGAAAGTGTGATTGCTTTAAAATTTCATTGCCACTATCATTGCAAAATTGCAACTGCGTATAATCTATTGCGCAAATTTATTGCACTAATGCATCGCCAGAAAATATATATTTAATTTATTTTCATTGCATACTCAATAGATATCATGTTCAACATACCAAAACCTGAACTATTAAAGAATAAGATCCAAGGTTGCTGAAGAGTCAGAGTTACCCCTCATGTCAGATTTTGAACCAGAAGGTCCGGGTATGGCCGCTACTGTTAATCCTGCTTCAACTTCACCCAATGCTCAGTTCCCTTTGGGCACAAGTGCTACTCCCATATCAGAAACTGCTTCATCTTTAGCTTCTCTTCGCATGTTGGGGGTGTACTTGAATACCTATGCACTTGAGCAAATGGTGCAAGCAGCAAGCTCGTCAGCGGGACTTCAGACTATAAAGTGTGTTGAGCAAACTTTACAAGACCTAGGGGTGAATTTGAAGCCTAAAGTTCCAACTAAACTAGTATGTGCGGAGCATCTTGAACTTAGAAAAGAAATATTGACCCTATTGAATCTTCAAAAACAGTTGCAATATAAGGAGTCTGAAGGTTCATCCTATCGTGATGGTTCATATTCTGAAACACCCAGTACACCAACTAAGCGAGCACCACTAGTACAAAAGAGGCTTTTTACATCTCCTTTTCTACATGTGTTATTTTAAAACACATGTAGAATACTAACATGGGGTCATTTTTATAATTTTTATAAACGTTTTTACATAGGTTGCAGTTATAACCCATGTGAAACACCAAAACGGGGTACTTTTTAAAATTTTAAGAAATAATCTAAATCGGTTATAATTGCAACCGATGTGAAAAGAAAAACGGGGTACTTTTCAGAATTAATGAAACTTTATTTTAGATCGGTTAAGATATGTTTGCTATCATGCTCCGTCTTCTCTCTAGGATAATTCGCGAACTACTCCTCCGATCTGCCTGAAGCCCGTGCGGCAGCAATGCCGCCGGCGCAAGGCATCGGCCAGATGACTTCGCAGGATAAGATCTCATATGCAGCGGTGGTAAGGGATGTTATCCCCATCCATCGATTGCACTCTCAGCCTTGCTCTTTTTCCGACGCGGGCGACCTGGGTTTGTCTGGTAGCTTCAGGGACGTTCCGGCGGTTTCCTTCTCTGATAATGACTTACAGGTTCTCTCCCACCCTTTCCGATTTGCTCTGGTTGGTACTTTTCCTTTTGGTCGCCCCCCTATCCATGTGATTCGTAAGGCTTTTGAACGATTAGGGTTTTTACAGAGCTATTCCGTGGGGTTGCTTCACTCGAACATGATTCTAATTAATTTTCAGTCCGACCTCGATTTTCAAAAATTTTGGGAGAAAAAACTATGGGATTTCTTTGGGTACCAGATGATGGTTACCCGATGGACGCCCAACTTCCTCGTTGAACGGGACTCTCCCCTAGCCCCTATCTGGATCTCCCTCGACGGACTTCCAGTCCACCTTCATGACTTAAGGTCCTTGAATGCTATTGCTAACCTCTTAGGCAAACCGATAAGAATTGATACCCCAACCGCCAACTTTTCCAGACAATCTACAGCCAGGTTGTGTATTGAATTGGATATCTCTCTTGAACTCCCCCGAAATATTTGGATTGGCAACGGTGCTTTCGGGTTTTTTCAGAAAATTGTGTATGAAAACCTACCTATTTTCTGTAAAAAAAAATGCTCTCGATTTGGGCACAATGCTACAGAGTGCCCCAAATATTCGGTGCCAAAGGCTGTGATCTCACAGATTGATGTTTGTGCCCCTGTTAATGGCATAGAATCTACTGCTGGTGTCCCTAAGACTGTTATTGACTCAACTAAGGTCTCGCAGGTTGATGCTTTGAGAACTGTTTTTGCTGTCCCTGATTCCATTGAATTCCCCCCTTTGAAAAAAATCGCAGCTTCTTTTGATATGGTTTCTGGCAGACCTTTACAGGCCCAAGTGATCTCTGATAATGCAAGTGTCGTCCCTGTCACTGTCCCAAAAAATGCTGATACTTCTGAATTTGCAGTAGCTTCCCCTGATACTAAAGCCCTTGTGGAATCCCAGACAGTTTATTCTATTGATGTTCCTGTACCTCAAGTTACAGATGTTGGTGCTCTAAGTGCCCCTGTAAATGAGGAAGGTGATGCAACCTCTGCTCCTCATGGGGATGCTTTACTGGATCCGAAACCAACATGTATTCGTGATGCTATTGATGTACCTTGTTATACTCAGATTGCAGTTAGTAAAAATGTCCATGTTGCCTCTGTTAAGACTGCCCGTGCACTTCAAATTACAGAAGTTGATGCTCTAAGTGCCCCTGTAAAGTCTGGTGTTACAACCTCTGCTCTTCAAGTCACTGCAGGCTCTTCTCGTTCGATTAACATGGTCTCTGCTGCACAGCAAGCTGAAAAACCAGCTTCTGTTCCTACTGATTTTTTTGTTACAGTTGCCTCTTATTTTTCTGTCTTGGAAGTAGATACTCCATTTCAACACACGGATGCCCCTTTTGATGACTCATTTCCTGCTAAGGTTTCTGTCCAACTTCCAGTGGCTCTAGATGAAACCCCGGTGGCCACCCTTAACGTGGCGGTAACCGAGGAAATTCATCAACCGGCCACCTATGGTGCTGGCAAAATTTTGTTTGATGCCCGAAAAGGAAATGAAGAGATCCTCTCTGATCCGACGCTTAACTGTCCAGTTACTACACCTGCCCCATTCATGTCCAGTGATGAAATCATTTCTGAGGACACCCAAATGCTAACTCATTAGATTAGTTAAAATAGCATTTTATTTACTTGAACCTTTTTTTGTTAGGTATCTACACCGCTTGTGCATATCCAGAAATATTGGTCATGTGTATGGATTCATTGATCCACACACCATTCAAGGAGTAGGCAATTCTTTAAATGAGGTGCAAACGTATATATCTACAAGATTAAATGGAGGTGGAAAGCAATGTTACTTGGCTCCTTATTACTACCAGTAAGTAAAAGTTACTAGAACACATATTTGGCTCTATGTACCCCTATGTACTATCTGTTGTATAAATAAATCACAAATTTACTTCATGGTTCTCCATAAAACCCTATTTTATATTTTTAAGCATGAAACTGGTGCCTTTTCTCACTCTTGTATCCTTAGTTGATGAATTAGTGTCTTTTAGGATCGTTCTGAGATCATATAATCTAGGTGATATTCTGAATACGATACTTTATGAGCTAATGTTTCTTGAATGGATAGATAAGATTTATTTGTTTATTGTGGGTGAGGAGCTGGGGAGGGGGTGGGGAGGGGGATGGGGAGATGGGGAGGGGGGCTGGTGGGATGGGGTGGAGCTGGGGAGGGGGCTGAGGAGCTGGGGAGGGGGCAGGGGGCAGGGGAGGTGACTGGGGAGCTTGGGAGGGGGCTAGGGAGCTGGGGAGTGGGATGGGGAGCTGAGGAGGGGGCTGGTGGGTTGGGGAGGCGGCTGGGGAGCTGGGGAGGGGGCTGGTGGGATGGGGAAGGGGCTGGGGAGCTGGGAAGCTGGGGAGGGGGCTGGTGGGATGTGGAGGGGGCTGAGGAGGGGGCTGGTGGGATGGGGAGGGGGAGGGGGAGCTGGGGAGGGGGCTGGGGAGCTACACCTTTTCAGATTGTTATTCCAAAAGGGTCACTTTAGTGATGCAAGAGAAATATTGCAAAGTTGATACTTGATATAACTCCTTGGCTAAGAGGAACTAGCAGGTAATGCATTCTTTGCTACAAGTGTTTCCTTAGATGGATAAGATGTTAGAGTAAGATTTTCTTTTAGATGTTAGAGTAAGAAGAGTACACTATAGTAAATATTTTTTTATGTATTATTTTTTTTAAAAAAATTATTGTTTGTCTTTTATCCTTTTTTTATGTATACAGGAATTATTGACAGCTCTTTATTCTCTTTCCTATCCAAAACACTATTGTCTTCTTGTGTTCTTTGGGGAATAAGCCAAATAGACAATTCAAAAATATTATTGATGCGTAAGTATTTTGTACATTCCGTTTTAATATCTTAATTACATAAATAATTTATTATATATATATATATATAATATTATAAATTACATAGTGCAATGGAGGCAAGCCGTAGACTCAACTCAAGAAAGGGAAGAGTGAAATGGATTATTCCTATGGTAAATACTTACTACTTTACTTTGTATGTTATTTTTACTTTCATTTGTGTAGCACCAAGTCGAATATCGTAATCTCTGATTAGTAAGTATGTTGTTCTAATTTGTAGTCTCGGATGCAAGTTGGGAGTTATGAATGTGGTTATTGTGTAATGTTGCATATGTTGAATATTGTTTCGGCGGTAATTCTTGAAATGTGGGATGAGGTAAGTTATTATTTTATTTACATTCAATAGGTTTGCTCCACATGTAATGTTTTTTAATAACCTTCTTATTTAATTTGTAGCGATTCGCCAATCCGGAACCATTCTCATCAGAAGAGATTGATGAAGTACGGACTCGTTGGGCATCATATTTCTTAGAAATGACGCAATCCATCAACGACACATGATGAACGTGTTTGTTTATGTTTTAGAGTGATGATGTTAAACAAGTACAATGTGTTATTACTCTAGACTTGTGCAAGGATTGTTTTATTTTAGCTTGTTATTATGTACTAAGTTGTTACTTGAACTTGTTTAACATTTGTGGAAGAATTGATAAATAGCTTGTGTTATTGTTTTAGATGGATCAAGTGAACAGGTGAAAAATTGTGCTATAGTAGTTGATGATACTGTTAATGATGTGATTATAGTATAAACAGGGGTCATATTGCAAAAAATTTTCATGAAAAATACCGAAAAATTGAAGTTTTTCACATCAGTTGTGAAATAACCGATGTGATTGCTTTTCTACATGGGTTATAACCGATGTGAAACACATATGTTCCGAAAAAAATGAAGCTTTTCACATCAATTGTGAAATAACCGATGTGATTTCGTTTTTACATGGGTTATAACCGATGTGAAACACATATGTTCCGAAAAACAACGAAGCTTTTCACATCAGTTGTGAAATAGCCGATGTGATTTCTTTTATACATGGGTTATAACCGATGTGAAAAACCAATGCTCCGGGAAAAATTAAAGCTTTTCACATGAGTTATAAAATAACCGATGTGGTTTCTTTTTTACATGGGTTATAACCGATGTGAAATATCATTAAAAATGCCGTTTCGGCCTATCTTCTAGATCGGGTACTAAACGACCGATGTAGAAAAAATTTAACATCGGCTGTTTGACTGATGTCAAAAGTCAATACTTTTCACATGTGCTGGAACCACATCGACTGTTTGACCGATGTGAAAAGCCTTTTTTACCGATGTGAAAAGCCTTTTTTGTACTAGCGCAAAGCGTAGTGCTGATCAGGATAGGACATTCAGCCCTGACTTAAGTTTTGGAGGTGAAAGAGTTGGTAAAAGGAATCAAAAGCGCAAGGCACCTGGAACACCCAAATGTGAAGGCTCCTCTGCAACGTCAAAACGTCCTAGGAAGCTTAAAACCTCAGATGGATAGCCTTTTGGCAGAGGGAGCAGAAGCACTACCTTTCTGTGAATGCTTTTTTCTTCTCTTCAGGCATGATGTGGCCAAGTTGCATGAAATGGTACGTTCAACCACACTAGTGAAGGCTCCAACTGACTAGCATAATGCTATTATTATTATTATTATTATTATTATTATTATTATTAAATTTTAACATTTGAGTTTCAGCCAGTTCTAATCTGTAAATTCCAGGTTTCTCTCTGTAATTATCCGCGGCAAACCTGGAAATTGTAGCTACCAAATATGGAGTGGGATTTACCGCCACCAAGCCTAGTTCTTCTTCAAAAAAAATGGGTCAGGAATGCCATCTAGAAATTAAATAGGAACATCTAGGGAAAGCCATCTAATGCATCGAGTGTACACCCAACCGATAATCAAAACTAGAGACAAGTAATTCGGAATAGGGAAACTCTCATGTCATCCCCATCTTGGCTTCATCCCCGCTTGATTCGAAAAAATTAGGCTTGCGGCACGGGCTTGCAATTCTTCTCCAATTTGAACTCCCATAGGCAACACCTGCGTCTGAAATTAGCCGATGCCCTGAAAACCTATCGCTCAAATCTTTGGTGGTTCTGAGAAATTGCCTTCGCGGGGTCGAAGCCGTCTGCGTGAAACCCTCTTTCCCGAAAACCCTCGCCCCTCTCGCATCCCTCTGCCATCGTTCGGCCATCTTAGAGTACGATTGGATGAGAATTTTCAAACAATTACAAGAACCCAAATAGAGTACGATAACAATTTAAGCAAACATAGAAGAAAACTTACTTGATCGCCTGCTTCAAAGGGTTGCGGAAGGATGAGAGGTCTGGTCTGCGGCGAACTCTAGGAGTTACTGCACGATTACGGCACCGGTCTTGCAGAAGGATGAGTGGAGTCCAAACTAAACTGAAGACATACTGACTAGGGCGGTGGAAAGAAATTTGGAAATTTGGAAAGATTAGCGGGAGCATATTTCACTACCATTTTAGATTTTGAGCACTAAATTTTGAGCCCAGGCTTTCCATGTGGGCCCGTTACGGGTGCCGGAGCTCGAGTTGAATTGATAGCGTCATTATATGAAGGGAGTGTTTACTAAAGATTAATTAAAGTGTTTTTCAGTTTTTGGTTAAAAAAATGTTGAAATGAGTGTTTTCAAATAATAACTTCTACTTAAAGCTAAAAGCTGGAAGCAGGTAAAAGGGTTTTTAAACTGCTTTTCACTTTTTATTTTACACAAAAAGCACTTATTTTACCAAATACTATCGATTTTTACTTTTTCAGAATCACTTTTTTCTCAAATACTACCAACTTTTACTATTAATTATTTTCTTCAAAAGCACTTTAAAAATAGTAATTATCGTTTTCAATCCCAGACCAAATAACATATATAAGAATAGATCAGACCATATCAAACCAGACTAAACCAGTTAGAATAAATCATACCAGACTACACCAGATTTGGTTAGTTATAAAATACATAGAGACCATTCCTACATTTATCAGATTGACCCCAAAATATTTCAATCAAATTAAAAACATTCTTAATTTTTTTCATAAAGAGACCAAAAAACATAAATCTTTATACTATTTAATTTGGAAAAATCAACCTCACATTAATGTATGGGCAATTGGAGCCCGTTTACAGCTCATTCTGCTAAAATTTATGAATTTTTGACTGAAATTGTTTGATTGATTGACTCTGTTGATTTATGGGGAAAAAATTTAAAATATTTCTTATTAATAAAATAAATAAAAAATTGTATTAAAAAATAGCTAGTTACAACGCTCCTCTACGGTAACTTGAACCAATAAATCCAGAAAAATAACTTTAATCTTACTTTCTTATATTATTACAAAATTCAGCGCGCGAAATCAAAAGTTATGCATGTGTTTGGTGAAAACAATTGACGGATAAACCTAATAAGCCGAAAAATAAAGTTACCAAATGGGCTCTCAATGTCGTAGGATGTTTAATTGAACTTGAAGTAGTTGTTAAATCGGCTAACTTATGAACTTGTGGATGAATTTGTGGTAATTTAGACTTTTTGATAATAATCACAACATAAAAGTAATATTTTTGAAAGAAAAATTGCACGGAGTTGACTCCATTGCAAATTTTCATTGCGATATTGCAACGGAAAATTTGCAATGAGCGCTTCTTCCGTTGCAAATCTATAACTGCGCAACATAGTAATATGCCATTGCAAATTCTCTTGCAATTATTGCAATAGTGTTATATACTCGTTGCAAAATCTGTTGCAACATATTTTTCCTCCTTTTCCCCGCCACAATTGCAATGAATATAAGTTTTTGGGAAAATTGTCAAATAAGTCCTCGAACTTTCATAAAAAAGTCAATTAAGTCCTTCTATAGGAGACTCTGTCCGGTCGTCGCGATTTGGGGTGGTTCCCTGTGGAATTTGTTGATGGAATTTTTTGAGCATCTTATACATCAAGTCTAGTTTACTCATACCAAATTTCAGCTAAAACATTAATCGGGAGCGCATTCAAATTAATTTGAGAACGCAAAAATGCGCAGTTATCTTCAAGATTTAATTTGAATGAGTTCCTGATTGAATTTTTAGCTGAAATTTGGTATGAGTAAACTAGACTTGGTGAATAAGATGCTCAAAAAATTTCATAAAAACATTCCACCGGGAACAACCCTAAATCGCAACGGATGGACAGAACCTCCTATAGAAGGACTTAATTAACCTTTATAGAAGCCCTAAAACATTCCTATTGCGTTGCAAATATAATTGCAATATTGCAACGGGAACAAGTCTGTTGCACGGTTCCGTTGCAAAATGTGATTTTTCTAGTAGTGACAAGTGCAAATCCTCGTCTCGAAAAGTTCTTGCTACGAAAACAAGCACAATAACTCTAGAAAGTCAAATCGCCGGCTTGACTTCTTTGATGAAGGAGTTCATTTTAAACTCCAAGACTCAAGAAGTCAAGGTATACGATATATGCACATCAATTGGGGCATCCTATTGATTCTTGCCAAATATTCCAAGAGGATTCTGATCATGTCAATGTCAAGGGATTCGAAAGACATCCACAACAAAAGAGGTATAACACATACTCTAAGACTAACATCCCGGATGAAGGGTTCATCCTAATCTTTGATATAGAAAACAAAAAAAAAACAGTCCTTCCCACAATCTCAACCACCATTTCAAATGCCACAAGCCAAACATCAATTTCAGCATGTCCACGAAGGATATGGCCCAATTTTAACATGATACTAAATCGATCATCCAAAATTTGGAGAACCAAGTGAGCCAAACCTCCAATGCAGTGAATAGTCTAAAGGCCAAAGGTGTAGGGAAACTCCCACCTCAAACTGACTCGAATCACAAACAACAAGCTTCTGTTGTCACTTTAAGAAATGAAAAAGAATTGGTGATTGTGAAGGAGAAGGCAAAAAGTCAAATCGGTAAAGAAAAATCTTGAAGACTAATGCAAGTTCCCTACCGGAGGAGGAGAAAACGGAAGGCACTGGCTCCCAAACAAGTTCCCACCACTGAATTCTTATGAGTTGATCCCACCTTTCTCAGAAACTCTCAATGAAACTCGTAAGCTAGAGAAGGACAAAGACATCTTTGAGACGTTCAACAAATGCAAGGTAAACATTCCTCTTCTAATTTAATTCAAAGTGTTCCTAGATTTCCAAAGTTTTTAAAAGAACTTTGTACACTAAGAAGGAAACATAAATCCAATGGGAAGCATAAAGTCCAAGTTAGTGAGCGACTATCGCTTGTTTTTTTAAAGAAACTATCTAAGATGTATAGTGACTTGAGAATATTCACTATGCCATGAAAAACTATATTTTCTAGGGCTATGCTGGATTATTTGGGAGCTTCAATTAACGTTATTACCTACTCCTTATATAAGTCCTACAACTAGGACCTTTACATGAGACAGGGGTTGAAATGAAAAATGATAAAAAAGTAGTCCCTATTTTTTATGAAAAACAAAATCCAACATAATCATATAGTTTTAGGGCAAAAAACTAGTATTAAAGTTCTGTAAAACGTTTAGGTGAATCCTGATGTCTTGATCATCTTTATTCTTATTTTAAAATCAATATATATCAAAGAGAAATTCATGCAATATAATTCATTTTCAAACTTTCTATTTAAATCATGAACTTTATAAAACCAAACGTCTCTCTGCACCGACCCAATATTTTATCGATATTTATTTATCCCTCAGTCCCTTGTATACTTCAAAATTTGCCAGATCACGTATATCAGTAAAACTTAGGTGCTCATCGTAAACTCTAGTCACCTCAAACGAGAAAACACTTTAGTACTCCTTTACAACATTAATTTAAACAATACAAGGATGACAATAATCACGAAAAATATAGCAACCAAACACAAACTGATGTCAAATAAGCTGTCCCACCAGGTCGTCGGACTATTGAGGCTATATTCTGTATTTTGTCCTCTGCAAAGAATAACATATTAAACAAACTTCAGTTTATTAGTGAATTCAGTCCAATATCCCATAACTTATATTATGGACTTGTGGTCTCTTTGTTTCTGAGTGAATCAAGTGTTCTAGATGTTTTTCTGACTTATTAGCTTTATCAGTCAATTTTTTTTTATTTCACATGTTGCATTGTGTAATAACCAAAATAAGTAAAATTGGGGTTGCTTTTCTGGTTTAATTTGTTGGGTGTGTTTCGGAAAATAAAGGAAATTAATTAAAATAATTAAATAAAATGACTAGAGAAAACCAAGAAAGGAGATGAAGCAGAATTAGTCAAAACGTATTTGTTGCCTCCCACGGTGCTAGGAGCGTTGCAACAATCGTTTCCCAGGATACGATGACTACGAACTAATGTTTCAGCACACAAACAAGAGTTCCAGCGAAAGAGAACCAAGTATGAACACAGAAGGAATTTGCAGAGTAACTGGAAGTGTTTTTAGCTCAAGAAAACATGAGGAATGTATTGTGTGTTGTCAAACCGTGTGTTTGTTGCACACGAGTCGCGATTTTTCTTCTCCGTTTCGGGATTTGATCAGCACCCCCCTGCGCGTAAGAGAGAGCTTTTACCTTTAGGAATCTTAACTCCTTAAAAAAGGTTTCCCTTTATAAGGGGGTGAAAATCCCTTGAGTTTTCCGGTGTGGGATAAAACACACTAGAAACTCATCATTTTCTCAGTTTTTCCATTTCAACGAGTGAACTTCGAGAATCAATTTCTCATTCACCCGTTATCCGTTTTGAGTGTACCACATATCAAATTGTAGCCCTTAACAAGGACAATCCGAAACCACTTTGACCCGACCCAAATCGGAAGTGGACCCCACTCAAATAATTGCCCCAAAATGACCATTTAATGCAATTTTTAACACATTTTTCCAACATAATTGACTGAAGTTACTCTAGAAGACCATTTTAATTATTTTTCATATAATTTTTCATAAATCCACAGAATGAATCAATTCAGCCAAAACTTCATAAATTTCAGTAGAGTCAACTAATTTAGACATATTTTTACTATAACCAAAGAGATTCTATGTTTTTGTAGTTTGTTTACCATTTTTTGTCACGAACCTAGTTTGTAGATGACCTATTTGGTGAACTTCGAATGCATATATGTTTAATAAAAATTGGATGAACCTAATACAGGGCCGGCCTTGACGTATAATGGACCCTGTTCGAAATTGAATATTCAGGCCCTTAAGTATAAAACAAAATAGAGAGTATGAATAACAAAACAATTGAAATTTATATTCAGTAGAGAAGAAGCCAACGATTATTGCGTTCAGATTCGTAGAGAAGAAGACGTTAGAAATTAGATTAGATTTAATTGTCTAAAGAATAAAGGTGCAAGGCTAGGGCGATTCTTATCCTTTTCTCCCCAATTCCCCATATTCCCTTTTGTCCTAAAATTCGGCTGCAGATAAAATTTAAGCAAAAAACTTACTCCATAAGTAATTGTGGTTTACTTACCCAACATTTTCAAGCTAATCAAATTGTAGTTTTTTCATTCTAGTGGTATATGTATACACG